AGCCAAAGGTGATTTGGGGAGAAGCAGGCATGGGGAAAATAAACAAGTAAGGGGAGAAGAAGTTCTGGTCATGTGTGAACAGGCTGGTGGGTGGTACACTTGTCTGGCCATGCCCTGCAGCTGATCAGCGCAGTCTGTCCTGTATTCTTGTTAAATTTCTTTCTAACTCTTTCTTGGGTGAGGGACTCTATTTGAGAGGAGAAGCTGTACATACATCTCAGTGCTAGCAACTAGGGTCAAACCATGGGTCGGAGGGACCGTGTGCCCATGGTGCCGGCAATGGGAACAAGTGCAGGTCTGGTTGCCAGCAGTTGGGCTGGGACCCTGGGCTGGAGGGCTGGGTGCCAGCAACCAGAGACACTTCATGGAGTGAGTGAAACTGTGTGTTGGACATATTTGTGCTGCAGTACTGGAGCAAGTGTTGGGTGTGAGAGGGAGCGTATTGGCTGCTGGTGAAGATCGAGCTGGATCGTCTGGTGAGTGGGTGAATAAGGTGGGAGTTGGGAAGTGAGCATGTGTCTCTAAGAGCAAGACCACAGGAGGAGCTAGCTTTTGGAGGCATTGGGGAGTCCTGGCCAGCTGCTGGAGAGACTGTAGGGTCAGGGCGTCTCCAGGGGTGAGACACCTGGGTGTGCACGCCTGTGTGTTCCTACAGGCAAGACTGCGGTGGGGTTGGGTGTTGGGGGACAAGGGAGTTCCAGCCAGCTCTGTGTGACGATCTGTACCAGCAATGGAGTTGGGCTGAAGCCTTGGGGACTCCTGCGCCTGACCAGAGAGAAGAGCAGGATGAAGCTGTTGGTGTGAGTGCTGTGCCTGTCTGCGATCGATGTGGCCAGTGGTGTATACGTGTGGTATGTGCATCTGCCTGCTGGGAGTACGTTTTCAGCCTTGCTACTGGTTGGACCTGGGCATGGAGCTGTGGCTGCCCAGACTCTCCGCTGTCAGATCCAGCATGATAAATCTTCTCCTAACAGAATGGTCTATAATTACAAACATTGAGTGGTCTCTGTAGTGACATTGTGTTTCCATTGCCTGTAGCTTTATCAAACATAGCTCTTTATTACCAGTTATTCATTTTTCAATCTGTCTGTTTTATCTTTCAGAAAAAATGATTAAGCTGTTTTCCTGAGTGAGGAATAGAAAATGTCTCTGGGTTTGCCTGACTTTGGAGCCTTTAACATCTCCCATTCTTTGGGCACATGCATTTGTAAGGCAGGTTGTTAGGATTTATGCACCGGGAGCTTTGCCTGTAACCTTGGAATATAGAGGAAAAAGGCTGATTCCTCAGAAATGTAAATAGGTCTTGGACCATACTCTTGAAGATAAAAATGTCACTGCTTATACCTTCATGGTTACTGTAATTCTGCAGCTAGGCTCGATTGCTCCATAAGGATTGCCACAGAAAGTTTTAAGTGATGTTTACTATAAAAGATGCCAGAACGACGACAGTGTTGTTAAATGTGCCCCTGTCCCTGATTTTCCCTCCTATCAGTCCCCTGGTATTTGGGTGGTTCTCGTGTGAAAGTTCTGTGCTGCATCCCCTTTGCTTGTGCTGCTGCTCTTGGAGTTGAGGCTGGCAGCCACAGGACTGTTTGTATTGTAACCAAGCTGTAAAAATGAAGACAGCAAGGAATGCAGAGTCCCAAGAGGCCTCTAAAAGCAAATCTAAAAACCTTGTTTGCATAGCTTTTAAGCTTTTGGCTTGCTTGTGTAGAGGATATAAGATCAGTGAGTGGAAACGCATCATTTCAAAGAGGTTCTGAGCATTTTTTTCATTTGTTTGTGCAAGTCAAAAGGGCTTTGTGAAGGTGCAGTGAATAAGAGTGATGTTGAAAAACCAGTATTAGGAAACAATGTCTGATAAGAAAGGAAGGTGTCGACTTATAAAGCTGCTAAGATGGATGTCAAGTCAGTCTCTTCTTTGATACAACCAGAGGAAAAAAAAAAAGGCTCAAATACTTAATGGCTTATAATTCCTACCTAAGTTAATAGGATTGGTGTCACCATATTAATTTATTGTGATATTTCCCCTAAAACTGAATCTTAGCTGTTTAAAATATGTATGTGTGTGTGTTTTATTAGTGCTTTGTAGCTCAGATACTTTGGTTTATGATTTTAATTATAAAATAATGACAGATTTTATAATATAGTAGTGACAGACTTTTAATCTGCCTCCTAGTCAGGTTTCTCAAAACAGAATCGCTAAGTTTAGTAACTGTGATAAGTAAAAGTCAGACACTTTTTTTTTTGTTCCCCTCTTTCCTCCCCTTCATCTGACTTTGCTGTTTGAAGGCTGAGGACAAGCTTTTATAAAGGCCATGTGTTCCTGCTGTCCCCACTATAAACTAGCTCAGGCAGCAAATTCTGGGCCTGGAGAAAAAATAAATTTTGCCATAATATCATGGAGACCTGTGTAAGCAACATCTCCTATGTTCCAGTGGTAGAGCCTGTGTTCTTAGCCTTTTGTTGTTGTTGTTCTTGGAGAGTAGTCGTCCCACACCCCCCACTGCTCATAGGTGGCGAGGTTGCTGATGCTGTACTTAGAATCTAGGTGCAGGTAACTCAAACAGGTGACAGCTTACCTGGGCAGATACTCGGTTTCCATGAATGCCTATGATGTGACTGGATATTCAACATGTCCTCGCAGTTACATGCATGCTTAAAAAAGGATTTGAAGTACCGCAAGCCCAGCTGCTACTAAGATCATATTTATAACCTTACATAAGAGAGAGAGAGAGAGAAAGAGACTTCTGTAAGGAACCTTAAACCAATGTGCCTTTAATAGACTGGTGCACAGAGAAGCAGTACTACAACTTTTGGTGCATTTATCTACTATTATATCTGTGGAAGTCTTGGACACTTTCCTTTGCAAAGCCCCTGACATGCAAATTCTCAAAAGTAAAAAGCTATGACCTGGGAGTATTTACATGTCTGTCTGGCACAGATCTCCGCTTTTGCTGGATGGAATGGTTTCCCCTTAGAACAAAGGAATATGTATTTTTACATATATATATGTTGATCAAGAATTATTTGTATGTTGTTTGAGAACTTGTGACCAATTCCAGAGGCTTGTTTAGGCATCTTTAGCTAAAGTATTGCTTGTTGGAAATTACTGTAAAGTGAGGAAGTAGTTCTATGAGAGCTGATTCTAAGTACAAAATATGAAAACTATATTCAAGCAGAATTGCAGAATAACTGTAGGAAGAGTAGCTGCACCTTGGTGTACAACACACTTGTGCTCATTTAGCACCAGTTTGTTTTCTGTTGCCAGGGAAAACCAAAGGGTGCCCAAAAGCAATACAGACAGAAGAAAGAAGTGTTAGTGTTGATAAAGTGTCACTAGCCTATCCTAATAAATGAACGAATCCATGATTACAAATGTGAAGAGAGCTGGTAAAGGCTTATGTTAAACCACAACAAACTGAAGGTTAGATCTAGACTGACAGATGTAGGCTCCTGTACAGCTGCATAACGTTTTCTCATTAGCTACTGAAGGAAATTCTGTACTGCTTATTTTCATTCCCTGTTACCCACATGCAGTGTATGCATTTAAAGCTAAGACCTCTTGTGTTTTCTATGTAGACTTTAATAACCTAAATGGTAATAAACCACTGTGTTAAATGTTTAGAGCCCAGCAATAACTTGTTAGATCTTCACGCGGACCTGCCATATAAATTGCTTGCTTTTCTTCTCAGACCTGCTTCTGCTATTGGATGATGACTCTTAGCTTCTTTGGTCTCAATTTTGGCTTGACAACAAAATTGATACTTAGGCTTTTTTTTGATCTGTGGCAAGCAGCAAAATCCTGCTGTGCTGATAATACCGTAACAACATGATGGGACATGGCTTCCTTGAAGTTTGAGTTGAAGCCTGTTGGCAGTTACCTGTTTTGCACAGTCTACACACACACTTGTACTATCAAGATGATGATTGTGTTGCTCATGTAGTCCAAATGCCAGCAGCCATTCTGGCACATCATACCTGGGAGAGCTAAACAATAAATACTTTAATACCTCCTACCTTCAGTTCCTCAGGCCTTCAGTTCTTACCCATGTCAGTGTTGTTAGTGCTTAGCTTCATATATTTGGTATGGTGGCCAGGTGCATAGCCTTCCTTTTCTGTCTTGTTTTTGGTTGACATATGTAGTTGCTTACAGTTAACTAGACAAATTGTTAGTTTACACATTCAATTTATATAATAAATGGCTCACATTATCTGTTCATTTGGTTTCCCATTAACTTCAACTATGTACTGTAGAGCAGTTACTTAAATTTTATTTGAGATTGAAATTAATTTGTAAAGAGAACTGAAAGACTGACATAGCAGGAGTTATCTATAATTTGCATAATTTACACTCTCCAATGATTTTTTTTTTTATGGGAGCATAGTTAGTTAATTGCTTTAGTGTTAGTCTGGACAGTTTGTTCTAGAAAATGCTGATAATGTAAAAGTTGGTTGTTTTGGGTGGTGGTGGATCATAGTCACAAAGACGAGCTCTTTTCTTCCACTGTTACACAAAGCCAGTGCAGTTTGACAATTGGTAGTTGTAGGGATTTTACTGTCAGCTGACTGCTTGCTGTGTTACTGGTGTTATTTAACTCTGCTCAAAATAGGTCTGATGTGGTTGAAAGACTTTAGGAAGAACCTAAGTGAAGTGACACCAGGGAAGAGCATTCCCAAGGTGAAGCGATGGGGACTGTGCTTTTCAGTGTGGTACACCAGTTTTACACACTTTATTTCTACTCTTCAGTTAGTATTGCAGTTACTGTATTTGCCACATCTTTAATTGCTTTTAATATGTCAAAATGTTGCTTTTAATCTTGGTGCGTAGTAATCTGAATTATCTTAATAAGAAAGGCAAGATGATTTTTGGTAGCCACTTTATTGCTTAATTCGTTACAGTGAAGAAACGCTCCACTTTATTTACATAAGTGCATAAAGTGGCATGGTCTTGTGTTCCGCAAGTGGTAACTTCTTTTCTTTTCCTTATATTTAGGAAGGCTGTGGAAGAGTTACTTAAAGAGGCAAAACGTGGGAGAACCAGAGCTGAAACAATGGGAGCTATGGGTTGGTAAGTTGTGCCGAGAGGAAATGAATGCTATGACCGATGCCAAAATAAATTTTACATTTGATGTGTGACAGAGGTCTCTACCTTTAAACAATTTGTCTTCATCCAGGTATTAATTTGTCTGGGCAAAAATTTGAGTCCAGCTAAGAATGAAGTTCAAGTAAATTCTGCTTGCATGAAATTGCTTGGTTGAATGTGTTGAAGTCAAAGCAACTGGAAAACTGGGAGTAGTTTCTGTAATAGTATTTCCTTATACTAGATGGAATTGCAAGGTTTGGATTGGAACTTCGTGAGTCTTTAAAATACTGGGTCACTTCGGTATGCATGTACTTACATACTGGCCATGGGTTAGATTCTGTTTTAAGTTAGAAGAATTCATAGCCTGACAAAGAAACTTAAATCTTTAAAACTAAAAATAGTAAATGATCCTCTAGTAGAGAATCCATGTGTAAATTGCAGCCAAAAATGAACTGAAAGTATAATCCAATTTTGGACGGAGGTATTTTTTAATACTAAAAAAAAAGCCAACTTAAAACCCAGGGGCTAATTTGTATAGCAAGTGGGAAAAGAATCACAGTATTTAAATCTTAAGTGAAATATAGTATTTCAGTTTTTACAGCTAGATTGTCATGGAATTTAATGCATCTAATTGTAATTAAGGAAGTAATAACATGCTGACAAGAGTTGTTCGTCTTAAAATAATATATATGACTTTGATAAGAAGCTATTGGATCTAGGGATGTTCATACAAGTAGTGCAACAGTTGACTGCATTAAACTCATTTGTAGATAAGGTTTGGCTTCCTCCACCAACAGTAGTAAAAGATAAGCCTGTGCTGTTAATGACGTTCTCAGCTGCTTTCTTGGCTGTGTTTGTTTTGGTAGCTCTGAAGAGATAAAAATAGTGTCTTGCTAGTAAAAGTTAATCCTTTATGTTTTCTAAACAGGGTTGTTGGTTTTTTTTAATATTTAACTCAGTACTTCTGCTAGGTATGCAGTTTATACCCTTTAAAGTTAAAATAGTTAAATTGGTTTAGTCCACTAGAGTGGCCATAGCTATACTGATGGAGCATGCTTTTACCCTGTCAGCCTTACCAAATGGTCAGGTAAACCAGTGCAGATAACTAGCACCGGGAAGTGTTGCGTGCATCAGGTTACTGTCAATTTGCAAGTCAATTCCAGGTACGAAGACTAAAGATTTGTGTCGAGAGATAACCGAGTGTCCATATGCAACTTGGCTGCCAGTTGTACAGCCTGGAATACCTGCCAGGAGTGTGTATGGGCTTCTGCTCCTGGCTCTGGCTACTTCTTGTTTGTAAAAGAGTGGTGATCCTGTGCAGCTGGCTGTGATGTCAGCTGGGGGTAACATGCAGTTTGCTAAAGCCTGGTGCCCAAGACCTGCCAGAGGAGGCGATAGTTAAGGGTGACCTGTTCTTCAGAACAGCTGCGGATTCTACTGGAGTAAAGTGGTGTCTGGCTAGGCCAGGGTTGTGTTAAGTGTGTAGGAGAGGGTTGTCAAGAAGGCTCCAGGCAGAGAAAGACTGTCGACAATAGGGATTGGTGTGGTGATATCCTGAACTGAGACTGTTGAAGTAAGGATCCTTTCAACTGCAGGGGAACATGAGAATAGCTATGCTGGGTCAAAGGATCCATCTCTGCAGTGCCCTGTCTCCATCAGTGGCTGATACCCTGTGCCTAGGAAATGGAGGAAGAAAAGTACAAGGCAGTAGGAGTACTTCCTCAAGGTACTATCCCAGCTTCGAGCAGTCTGCAGCTCAGGAGATCCTGCACTTAGAGATGATTTGTTTTGTACATGATGCTTCTCCAGGGATTTTTCCCGTTCTGAATTTATCCTTAGAGAGACTGGTAGCCATCCCACATGTCACAAATCTGCTGCCATGGAGTTCGGCATAGGCTAGTGTATGGCTGGTATATGTGGAAGGTATACAGCCCCCCATAGACAGACTCTCAATAGGTCTTTGGTGTCTGGCTCTGCAAGCGCAAGAGACAGAACAGCAGCTGGAAGCTGCCACTGCTCTCTTCCATTTAACATTTTTAGTGCCCCATTGCGCTGTTCTGGTCTTTCTGAACTGGCCCGATAACTATGTATTGCATATATACATGGGAGATGAGATAAGCAGTAAGATATTTGGAAGGAAACTTAACTATGCTACATTGAGTGTCACACTCCAGCAAAATGCCATCAGATGTAAATGATGTTATGGTAAATCCTGAAGAGCTTCAGAGATTAGATCCAAGACTGACATGTAACCCTGCAACTGTAAATACTGAGGGGGAGGTAACTGCTGCTCTGAGCTCTGTGGATAGCAAATGGAACGAGCAGAAAAGCTAGTACTTGAAAATGTGTATGAGTAGCCCAAATCCAGGAAAGCATAGCTGGTAGAAGCAAAGAGACAAGATCATCACCAACTTGTCTAAAAGCACAGTCTTAACAGGTAAAACGCAAAACCTTCCTTCCTTGCCAAACTCAAAATGCTTACAGGTGTGTTTCATGAGGACTTCTGGGATTTCCTCAGCCCTTTGTCAGAGGAGTCCTGGAGAAGAGATGCACAAACCCTGGAGACATCTAGTGTAAGGCCGTCAGTCCTGCATTGGCACTGGATAGTTGAAGCAACTCGGCCTATGAAGAAAAGATTTGTTCTGCCATCTGTCCTTGGGTAAGGAGAAGCAGAGGCTGCTACTGCTCATACTTTGCTGATTCCAGTTTATGTTGCTGTCCAGCATCTGGTGAATACTGGGAAATACATTTCTGGAGTCAGTGGCATTTGACAGGACTTGGTTAAAGGGAGGTGTGTGGGGAGGTGGCATTGCTGGTGAACTATATTGTGCATGCCATTACAAAGGAGTAGTGTCTCCTGGTGGGTGTTGATGGCAGCAAAACCTTAGCCAGCAAGCCTCTCAACACTGTTTTGGGACTACTTTTCAGGTTCAAGCCACTGCTTCGTTACTGTTCAGAGTGGTTAGTTCTCCATGGCTCAAGTGCACTGTTCAAAGAAGTTCCCCAAGCACCCCTACCTGAGTTTTTGCTGTCTCCTCATATGAGATGGATAGTCAGCTACTGTTTGAGCCTAAATTGCAAGCATCCAAGCTAGCATAGCTGACAGGTACAGAAAAAATGTGCCAAGCAGTCATCCCTTAGCCCACAGTCTCTAATACAAAGAGTCAGCCTTGAGTTGCTAGTGTTGATAGTATTTCTTCTAGTTTGGGAATGGTTTGCCAGTTACGCTGTCTTAGAAGTTTGCTGTGAGTGACATGGGTAGGTGCTGCAACCTGTAGGGGTTAGATGCTAGTAGAAGAAAGGCTGGTCCCAAATAGGGAGGTTGGCAGTGATACTGGGCAAGAGCTTGTGCAGGAAGGCAAATTACCTGAGATTTTGTGGACACGGAGCAACTGTCAGTATTGCAAATGGGCTGCATGAGCTCTTAGTTGGTTAAGAATCTTAAGTCACTGGCCTCTGTGCTCTCAGGACTGCTTAGACTGGCAGTATCTAGGTCCATGACAAATTAATCCAAGAAATACTGGATATTTGTATTTATAGATCTCACATTATTGGCTCTTGAGTATTGCCTCTTGAGTATTGCCTTGCTCTCAGCACTGCAGTATTTCCATTTCCTGCAGTGCTCCTTTTGTAGGTATTCTGTGGCCATAGTGATTCTTGTTGGGGGTCTCCTACGTCCTTATGGAACCACATGATGTAGATCCTGTTGCTGATATATGTTGTTCAAGCGTTAGTAGAGCTTATCACAAGTAAGAAAATGTGTAAGTGGAGAGTAAGGGAGGATCTTCTGAATGTGTTGTAATCCCAGAAATGTTGAGCAAAAGAGAGCAGAATCTGTGGCTGCTGCTGTGATGCTGGAGCTTCAGAGGTAAGAAAAGACATCAGAGCAGCTGTCTGGAATTTTGCATTGGAAGGGCCAGCTGGATCCAGGATTGGAAGTTGTGGACAAATAATGTAGGAACACTTGAAATGGTTAGATAAATTTATCCTTGATTTATCAGAGAGTATTGGGCACAGATGGAATAAAGCTATAGGATATTTGGGGTTTTCCATTGTGTGTCTAGGTAAAATCAAGCTAAAAGCTCAGCTTCTCTTAAGTGTTTTTGTTGATCCTACGTACATAATTCATAAGCTTCCTTATAGCAGTGCAGTTAGGCCCTGTTTTAAGGGGTTGTTCTGCTTTAATTGAGAAAGACAGTTAAAATTCCACAAAAGCTACTGTGTGGAAAAGTTCTACAGGCTTTTTTATTTTTTTTCTTCCAATGTATAGGTCTGGTCTTCAACGATGCTGGTAGCAAGTGAGCTAAGGCTGAACTGAATGTAGTCGCCTCGGCTTGCTTGAATAGCTTACCTAAAATAAGATATGGAAAACAGTATTTCGGGATGGTTTGTTCAGCTCTGCATTGTAAGAGCAGGTGAAGTCACAAAAAGATTATAAATATTGGAAGCATGAAATTATTTTTAACCCTATTTCTTGTAAAGCAATCCTAAAATTGCTTTCATTCCTGTAGATAGCTTTCTATTCAATAACAAATCTGTTAGAAGTACTGCAGAATACAAAATAATGAAGTGTTTGAGGGCACTGGAACTGTGAAATGCATCTTGTCTTTGAACAGGTGCTGCATGACTGTGCAGAAGCAGTGCAACGTGATTCCCTTACATCTCTTTAATTTGAATGTGAAGAGGAGGAGAAGCAGGGTACAGACAGAGATTTCAAATTAAATATCTTGTGATCAGGGTACACATTCCCATCCAAAGTCCAACCGGCTGCATCTGGCTGCCAAGACCATACATAAAAGTTTGCAGTGTCCTTCAGGCATCCTCTTTTGTGACATCCCCTGTGAAAGGATAACAGCCTATATTAGCTGGTTTGGCAAAACATCTAGCTGCCTTTTTTTTTTTTTTTTTTTTTTTGTCTTCAATCACTCTTCTGTTAAGCACTGTATTTTCCATGGCAGTTTGGAAGTGGTAGAAATATACTTGTAAGTTCAGCCATAATGAACTTTGTTTCCTGGAAAGATATGATTTAGTCTGTGTGCTGAGGCTGACTGTGCCAAGCCTGTTTGATATGTCCGGTTACTTGGCAGATAAAAGACGGTGGCACATGACACTGTACTCCTGTGTCTTAAATGGTGTCAGCATATTTTACTGGTAAGAAGTTGTATGGTACACTTCTGTGGTGAACTGCACTGCTACACTTGATGACAGGTATTTGCTGCAAATGCAATGTTATTGCACAGAAGCTGGCTTAAAATGTCAAAGATTTGACCTATGTTCACAATAATGGGTTTAGTCTTTTTTTTTTTTTTTTTCCTTGCTCAAAATGCTCTGTTGGCTTTTCGTCATTGCGTAGTGGAGAGATTTTGGGGTGTGTGGGGCTTTCTGTGGACAAGGTTCTGTGGGTAAGAATAGCTTGGTTTAGCTTATTGGAGAATGCAAAGCAAAAAGTGAACGCTTACAATGAGTTGCTACAGAACTGGAGTGTATTTTGTAGGCAAGACTGCTCTGGAATTGCAGGTTGTGTGCTTGCTTTGGCCATGCCTGCAGCCCTGCTTCAGGCACGCTTCAGTTCAGGACTTTAATGTCTAACGTGATTTCTTTTTTTAATGAAAGTTTTTTAAATCTATTCTGTGGCACTGTTTACTAAGGAGCAGTATTGTGTTCCACTTTGCATAGGCTGAGCTTGCCTCCCAGCCCTTTACAACTTACATTGAGGGCAAAGCTGTCACTGAATTGAGCGTTGCAGGATCAGACCTACAGCAAGCCAAAGGCTTGTCTTCAGGGGATTCTATTTCCTCACCACTAGAAATCATCTCAAAGATATCAGTGGATTAATACATTTCACTTTTAATCTTCGCAGTTCCATATATACCATGAATATATGTAAACACTATGGGCTTGTGTGTGTGCGTGCATAATGTAGCACATGCCTTACATCTCATTTCCTTTAAGTCTGCAAGGCAGAATTTGCTTTGTTGAAGTCTGAGGTCAGTAAAACTAAGGACTAATGTTTCTCTTCAATGCCATAACTTACTGCTGCTCCATGAAAGCCCAGTGCCTCGCTTTTATCACTGTAAGATGGTGAACTAACGGCTTCTCTTAGCTGACTGAAGCCCTGCATTTCTCATCAGTTCTCATTCTTAGTGTAGCTCAGGCAGCACTCGTAGTGCCAAAAAGAAATAAATACTTCAGCAAGGTGAATTTATGTAGGGCAGATCGTCTCATTCTGGTGCTATATATATTAGTGCTTAATCAATGCATTGGCTCTTAAGAAGAAGCAAGAGGAAGGAGACAAATGTGAAATAGTTTTTGCCTGGATGCAGCCAAGAGAAGGCTGCCCTCCTTGGTAGGAAATGTTGAGGTACAACAGCTTGATGCCGGCTTAAAACATACAGAGGACTTAATTGTGGGCTTTTCTGTGTTATGTCTTGAGTGTAACCTGTACCATGGCATGGTCAGCACCGTGTTCATAGGTGATGTAGCTTGCAGTAGAAACTTTATTCTACTGATGTATGTTAGCCTTGTATTTTTACTCAGTAATACAGTAAATGAATAAATACTGTCTCCTAAATTACACCTATACTTGATACAAATCTAGACCTTTTTTATGATTTTTTTTTTTAACCAGGATTTGAGCAAAACTGTGTAGATTTTTATGCAGAAAGTTTAGAAAACTCTAAAACTAGCTATGCTCTGGAGATGTGTCCTGAAATACCTAACAGAAATAAAACAGTGTGGCTGTTTAATGTATACTTTAAAGATATTCTTTGTTAAGTTCTTTGAGGATTTAGGAGAAGAACAATTATCAGTAATGCTTAGTAGGCAGACCTGAAGCAAAACACCATGGTAAATGCCGTGTCCAGTTAAAAGTCATGAAGTATGCTAAATCGTCAGACACGGTCTTTGTTACAATTTTGTTCTTGTTCTTATACCTCTGATTATTCAGAAGTGTCAAAGGCTTTTAAATAGTCAGGGTATAGTTTCTCTTAAACAAAATATTCAAGTAGAATAGATGATCTTAACATTGTGGTGTTAGGATTCATTGACTTCATAGTTGATGTAGTCAGTGGTACTGAGATCGCCAACAGCTCTGCTTTTTTTAGAGTAATCTGTAACTTCTCCATTAGCGTGCAGACTGAAAAAAGTTGTGAAGACAACACCATAGTGGCTCCCACTATAAACAAAGTCTTAAGAGTGATTTCTGCTTACTGAAGGGATATATTCAAACATGCTTTTTCACTTTCCATTCTTTAGGAGATGATAAATTGTGAATGAGTACAGTTGATACCAACAAGATAAATGAAATGTACAGTACTTGTTTACTAAAACTGCTGATAAATTACGTGCCAGAGTGTTAAGTTGCGAGAGGAGAAAGAAACTGGAAAAGAGAAAAAGAAATAAAACATTTTGTTTGGTGGTTGCCAAACAGAAGGTAGAATTGGTATGCCTTGTGTATATGTTTTATCACTACAGCTGTTAGAGTTCTTTATGCAAGTGTATCTTTTACTTTCTGAATATCTTCATTTGTTAGAAATGCTGCCTTTACTAGATTATGATCTTACAAAACATTCCAGTTTGACTTAGGGGATGTTACTGAATGTTTGATTCCTGAATACCTAAGTTAAACACTGTCAAACTTAAAATATATTGTCATCCTCTGCTTCCCTCTGCACACCTTGTGAAAATCATGTGAATTTTCACTGTGTTAAAGAATAATTTTCATATTATAAAGAGTAAGGTAAAAGGAGAATGGAGACAACCTTGAGTATATCTTTCTGTACTGGGAGTTTACACTAGGTGGCATACAAGGAAAGCCAAAAGCACAAACCTGTCTTAAAATTGTTGAAGTTAAAATCTAAGTCTTATTTCAGGATGTTTTTATCTTGTCTTTTGATTGCTTTTAAATGTCTTTACAGGTTGAAATGTCCTCTTGCTGGTACAAATAAAAGATTTCTTATTAATACCATCAAAAACACATTACCATCTCAAAAAGAACAAGACCAAGAACGTGAGCAAAAGGAAGACAGTAAGGAGCCAGAGCCAAACAAAAGCAGGAAAGAAGAAAAACCAAAGAAACGCAGAATTCACCCGTATACACCCAGCTTTCAGTCCAGAAGGAGAGTCAGCTATTCTCCTCCAAGGCACCGAAACAGGAACCAGCACACAAAGGATAAGCATGAAAAGCGATCAAGCAAACGATGAGGAGAGGGGAGTGACGAGTATGTGTTGTTACAAGCCAGGAATGTCATGAAGTGTCGGTCTGCAGGGATGTCTCAGTTTTTCAGGAAAGGATGCTGTTCAAAATTGGATTTTGAACCGAGTTGCTTATGTGAGAAGTAACCTTGAGGTAGCTTTAGAAAACTTTTCTTTGGGACCTTTAAGAGAAAGCAAAGTGCAGCATCAATCTTTGAGTCGTTTTAGAAAAGACATTCCTTTCCCTTTGCTCCATTCCTCTCTCCCCTTCTGACTAAGCTTAGGGTCTTGGTGATGGAGCGTGATGCGTGTGTCACTGTCCGATACAACTCGTTTAGTCATGTCACTCTTTTGGAGATAAATTTGAATTAAGCAGAAATCTATTTATTGTGTAAAGTTGGCAGAACTTCTTTGCTGCTAAGCAATGAAGAAGTTTTGTGTGTTTGGGTTAGTTTAGTTTTACAGAACCTAGAATAAGGGAAAGCTGGTCAGTGCCTGGCCAAGCACATGCGTTTTGTATAGAATATAAGAGTTTACTTTCTTTAGTATAAAAAGAACAAATTTAAAATGGGCGACACTGGTTTTGCTTTCCAGGAGGAACTACCAGGAAATATGGATTTTGCTTGTTATTGTATATTCACAAACCTGTCATAGATAATAATAAACATACCACTAAAAAGCCATAACTGCAATAATTGTCTCTGTTTAGACTTCCCTCTGTAAGGAAGTAGTTTGAACAGTTTGTTGTCATGGTGCTTTCAAAACAAACCTTGAAGACAAAATTATCATGTTCTCTGTCCAAGTAAATGTATAATACTAGAAATGCAGAGGTGGTACTTAAAGAGAGTCAAATGCTTACTTACCAAGCCTGTGTGACAATTCTGTAGTGGCACAGTTCCTAAAGTTGTGACTTGGAGCACATATAGTACACATCAACATACTCTACGTCTCACTTCTGTTTGTGTTACAATAACAAACTTCTGCGTGAAATATTTTGTATTTCGGTATTCTCAAAAGTAATTGTTTTGAACATAGGTTTCCGTTTTTAAGTGTGTTGACAATAAAATCGAAAATGTTAATTAAAAGTGCTTTGTGTAATTAATGCTTTTAATGGGTTTCTTAACTGACCTGGGCCTCTAAGGGAAAGGAGGACCCGTGCTTTTTGGTCCTTCAGAGTTGTGTCAGGGCAAGAGTGCCACCTATAGGCTTATCTATACCTCCTCTTGCTATACTTGCCTCTCTGTTGGACAGGTCACGTTAGCTAGGAGTGGGGAGACCAAAGTGGAGACCTGCGGTGACTGAATTCGGATGTGTGAGCTGGGAATTACTCTTCTGAGTAATGGGAGGGTAGTTAAGCAGACATTGAGCTTACCGGTGGCTGCCAGGGTCAGCGTATCCAACCAAGTGGGATACTTTTATGTTTCCACTGAGGAGTTGTGGATAGTTTCTCTGCAGGAACCATAGCACTGGAATAGAAGCCCCAGCCTTCTAGAAAATTTCTGACCATTTAAGTGGGATCAATGAAAAAGTAGTATCTTTAGTAGAGAATATAGGACTATCTGGTTTAAATAAGCAGATGCTGTTGGCAGTCCTTGTTTTGCTGGACACTGGTTGTGTTCTCCTTAATAACGCTTGCACCTGTAATACTGGCCAGGCTCTGCTGCAGTGTCAGTGCTGGACAGAGGTGGCTTTGCAGCAGAGAATTCGCCTCATCGTTGGTCAGGATTGGGACTGGAGTTATTGCATAGAACAGATCCGCAGGAATTCTTGGTGGTCTGGCTTTCCGTGAGAACATGGTGTCCTGAGAGCTTTCCACACTCAGGCCTTCAAACACCCCTTTGGGATAGGTGCTGTTGTTGAGTCTATGTAATTTTAGCCAGGCTTTCAGGTAGGAAAAAAAGCTTTCAAAATTAGTCTGGATTGTTGATAGAGAGCACTTCTGTACTAGAAATGATCAACTGGAAAATCTGACATGACCTAAACCACATAGCTGGAGAAAGGCTGTCTTCATCAGTGGTGGTTCAGATCTAATTCCACCTTTTTCTGACTTACAGAACTTAGGTGAATTTACTAATCTTTCATTGGTTGATTCCATATTTTATTGCTGTCTCTCGTAAGTTTACATAATAAACCCACAACACTCTGCTGCTCATTAACTGTTCTTAAGGCAAATCTTCACCAGCTGATCACTTCTTTAATAAAAAATTGGGTGCATAAAGCCAGATTTATATTGTGTCTGCAGTTGCTCATATTGTGCAGCACCAGCATCCCATTTATAAGGTATCTTAAAGATAGGATTTAAACCCTGAAGCTTTAACATGACTTTTCGAAATGTGTTATTAACTGCTGTGACTCAGAATGCTTGTTACTTATAAGAGTGCCTAGTCCTTAAAATGAATAAATAAATAAATAGTGCGTTCTTGGTCTCAACTTCCCGTAGTAGTGCATTGCAGCCTAGTTACTCACATGGGAGGGGAATGCACTGTACGTTACTGTTGCTGCACTGATACTTCAAAGGTGTCTCTTGTTTATCTGTGAGCTGCTAATGTTGTCTTTGTTTAGTTTCAGTGCACATTGTAAGGATAAGTTAATTCAGGCGAGGCTATTCTCTTGCCATAGCCACAAGAACTTGTTAATTAGACTTTGCTATTATGGTGGACAGAAATCCTCCAATATGTTCGTTTTCATCAACCTGATACTGAATGTAGATCACAAAACAATGTGAAAGAGGAGAAAACACTTTATGATTGGGCTTTATGAAATACTATTTATTTATAAATAAACGGTATTTATTAGTTTTGACTGTCAGGGGTATAGTGACATTCAGTTCTCACGTTCATTGTACAGCCTCTTCTCTTTTGTAAATCTAATTTGAATTATTTACAATGAATCATGAACATCCAAGAAAAGCCCAGCAGATTTCATGTGTAACAAGACTTAAAGGCAGAAATAGACCCTGTTTTTAGACTGATCCAGTCTAAAACAAGTTTCTTGAGGTGCAGTTGTAAGAGCTTTCCTTAGTGATTATGAAATTTCTACAGAAAACTAGTTAACAAAGGAGATGTAAATGTTTGTAGATCAATGGAATAATGTAGCAGGAGGGGGTTGCTTTTCCTGCACAAACAGAACTGGTTTTGTGTTGTGGCTGCAAGTTGATCACCAAGAAGCGTATTTCCTCTCCTGCCCTATCAGAGCTCTCATTAATAATTATGTGTTTTCAGTTAATTAAACTAGAACAACACAAAAGTAGACTTGCTTGGATAAGTAGCAAGAAAACATATTTGGATTGTGTTTGGAGAAGGATTTTGTTCATTTTATCAGTGGAGTTGCTGATCCACCAAATCTTTATTCATGTGAGTGATCTTTGCACTGGCAAATAAGCTTGTTGTATCTCACCATCTATGAATGAAACTCTCGTCTGAATTAATATACACTCTTTGTTTTAGTGACTGTCAATAGGAAATAATCTAAATGATAAAGAGGGTATAGCTCCAATTAAAAAAAAAAGCCTTAAAAATTTTGCAAAATATGCTCACACCTTCATTTCCAGATATGATAGTCTTAAGACAGAAAAAAAAACTTTTATGCCTAATATTTAGCAGCCTCTCAAAGTCTCAAATGAACACTCTGGATGTATATTCCTTATTTATTTATTTTACTTCAGTTTAATATTGCTTAGACTCTAAATTTACCAAATAGGGGTTTAGTAACTCTCAGGCTGTTACCCTCCACCTTATGAAATGCTTCTAGAAGGCTGCATCTATATTGAATCTGAAAACATCAAATCTCCATCTGTATGCAACAAAAATGAACTTTTACTTGTAAAGGAAAGCAAGAAGACTATGCTATATTTACACAAAATTGATATTCATACAATATTCACTGCTACCCAAAATGGTGACCCTTGCATTACAACTGAAACGTTGAGCCAAATCGTTTAGGCTAAGGAATGGTGCAAGTTCTGCGTAGCTCTCCCGAGAGCGTCCCATGTCTTTTATATTGCAGTTGCATAGGGCTAGCCAAACATGGTGTGGGAAGTGGCACGGTGCCTTGGGGAGGGGATATAGTCCCCTGTAGTGGTGGTGTAGGTCTCTCAAGAAGAGTTCAGTCCCCATCTACAACTTCCTTCTAGGATCTTAGGCAGGTTTTCTCATTGCTTTGCATGTGTCTGTACCATAAAGAATAGGTTTTGCTGTGGCCACCGCAGCTTTGGCAGTGAGCAGGGCAGAATTTGGGCTTAGCTTCTTCTCTCTGAATGGGGATTTAAGATGTAAGGAATACGTAGCAGAGATACATGGATGCTTTGAGAAAATGGCATTGCAACTTCATGTGGATAACCTCAGGTACTCTGTGTCACCCACGAAGCACCATTATGGTCTGGAGTGTGGCATGACAAACATACTTGTGTTCTGTCATCCCAGTGTCATTGCAGGCTGGGACATGGCCACAAAAAGAGCATTACAAAGATATGACACTACAGTCACAAGGGGAAAAATCAAAACTTTGTCAGAAAGCAAAGGCAATGGCGTCTTTAGTGGTGTGAATGAGAAAAGGCTGTCGAGACCACAGTAGAAAACAGTGTAACTGAGGATTTAATTAAAGTGTGAAAGTACAGCCCCAGAGAGCCAACAGAGACCCTTGCTAGCGAGGAAAAGAAATCCTGCTGCTCTGTGCCACCCTCCCACCCACACCAGTTCAGCTTTGCATGTGGCGACCCTATTGCACCAATTTTATGTTCCCTTGGCTGGCAGACGCAGCACAGTGAGGGCCTTCCCTGCTCTCTCATCTGTCCTGACCCATCTCAGGTCTGTGCAGAGATGGCAAAGATCCTTAACGTTTGTCAGCTTTGAGGCTGAAGGCACAAGCCCTGGCACTTGGTAGTCAACTCTGATGCTTGTCACAAATGTACAGTAATTAGAATAATAAAAAAAACCTAACACATGTTGTAGCTACTTAATCATTGATCCTTTTAAATTGTATGTTTAGCAGTTTCAGTAAAGTTCACCTTGTGGAGATCCTTCCTTGGTTTGTGCCTGTATGGTTGCAGCTCCAGCGGATTGGCCACTGCAGGGCTCCAGCTTGGGGGAGTTTTGTCGTGGAGGTTCTGAAAGAGGACCATGAACATAGGACCATGGTATGAAAGGGAGAATGCAGGGGTGTGGCCTGGTGTTTTCTTGGGCAGTCAGCAGCCAGAGTAGTCTTAGTGTGGTCTCATTTCTCCCTCCTGCCAAGCAGGAGCAGATGCATTCACCTCCAGCCAGGTGTGTCCTTGGTCCTCTGCTCACCATGAAACCTACAGCCTGGCCAGGCCATCTGTGCTTTCCTGGGGCACATGGATGAGGATGGGGAAGGACTACAGAAAGTGCTATGGGAGCACTATTCCATGCAGCTTAATATCAATTACGTAAATACAACCAAAGTCTGGGTTTGGGAAATATGGGTGGGCATTCTGATTGAGACTCTGTGTCTTCTGAATTCACCAGCTTTTCCTGGAGAACTGCCTGTGTCTTTTAAAACATCCCATGAAGG